GATCTATCCCTTTCACCCTCCCTTGCTTGCATATTCCATGTAATTTTTTTATGTACTTTGTTCAGTACTTCTAAAAATGCAGCACTGAAATCCCAGCAAGTGCATCAGAGGCATCAGATTAGAATAAACAGCACTGATGAAAGCAGTTGCAATGTTCTAACACATTTCACAGCACCTTTTTTATAAAGCAGAGCTTGATCTTTCTTCCCTTCCTCAGCTGAAAGGACTCTTTTTCTAACAGGACTTCAGACCTACATCTGCCATTGTATGAGTCAAATATTATTTATGTTACTAATAAGAGTAATCTCATTCTCCATGCTGCAAGGAGCTAAGGAGAACTAAAGGCAAACTTAATGGGTACCTGAAGGCAAAGAAAACCTTTGCTAACTAAGCAGTTTGTTCCCAGCATCTGTGTACCAGAGGACATGATGTGACATGGAAGACTATCGTATTGCTCCAAGGGAATATCTTTGAAGAACATAAGGAATTCTTCTGCCAGGATGTAAGAAAGATTGATAATTATACAGTAATATGGTTTCTATTTTAGCTCTGTGGTAGTCATGACAATTCAACACTTTTTTTTTTCTTTTTTATTATATGTGATAATAAATGCATTTTATTTAACATGCTGTGTCGGGGAGAAAAATATATCCTTCCACTAGGAAAATGTCATAATCTAATGGACCCCCTAAGCAATGCAGCATATTAGATCAAAACTATGTGGCAAAGCTCCAACATTTATGCAGCCAGTATTAGCAGAATAAAACTCATTCCTTACCCCCTGCCTGTTGCCCCAAACCTTTTTCCATTCATGCCTCAGTCTAACACAGTTTAGATTCCTTCTTGCAACTTTTTCCAAATGGGGTATGAGTTTTCTTCATTTCTTCTGCAAATGCATGTAATAGCTAAGAAGGAGACTCAAGACTTCTTGAAAGATTTCTTTGGATAGAGAAACAGGAGCAGAGACTGTGAGAATAAGTATCAGTCTTACAGAGTTCCTAAACTGCTACATCACAGGCTCTGCCCCATAAGAGAGAGCTTCCCAGCTGCAGACATCTAGAAGTTCACAAGAATGTGGTTTCCTTCTCCTTATTTAAGGCGCTCTGCCAGAATGGAAATAGGGAAAGCTTACTAAAGCACATCAGAAAGAATAAAGGAACAGAAAATATTTCTTAGGTAAGCAGGCAGGTTTGAGAAGTGTGAAGATGGGAATTGTTACATGTTTGAAGTGATATGGGCAGCAAAACTGACTGAGAATGAATTTCAGGTCCTAAAGAACCCTAACAAAGCTGGGAGGATGGAAGAAGAAAGAAAGAAGACAAAGAAAGATCTCTTCTTGTCACTGTGATCTTACTTCTTCAGAACTAAGATGTAAGTGTGGGTTTGCAGACTGAGATCCAAGGAAAATTTCCAAGCGTAAGATAAAATAATCTAAGTTGAATCTTTCTTCACTGAAGTGATGAAAAACCCAAACATAGTTGCGATGCAAGAGATCAAAATGGATCACAAGGTCTTCTCACTAAGACCTCCTATTCCTACTTTGTTCCCTTTTATAGTTGAGGAACACACCTCAGCCAATCCCTTCAGGTTGTTTAGCTTATAAAGCCCAAATAATGGTCTGGAGGGAATATTCTGGTGTTCTAAAATTAGCGGCCACAGACAAGAAAAATGTAGCTTTCTTTACGCACGTCTGTCTTCCTCCAAACAGTAGAACCTTTTGCTGCCTCCCAGAAGGGTTAATTTTGGCCATCTTAACTTCTCCAAAAGACCAGAGACCTCACACTCACCGCCATTACTCTTAGAAACACCTCGTTGCTGAGCTTTAGAGTGTCAGAAGATTTTGAACATGTTGACCATGTATTTAAAAGATTTGTATATTCAGTCCCATCAAATGTCATGAGGGTATTTGGTCTGGCTGAGATGGAGTAATTTGCCCCACAGCAGCCCTCATAGTGCTGTGCTTTGTATTGGTAGCTAGAAGGGTGTTGATAACACACCAGTGTTCTGGCTGCTGCTGAGTAGTGCTCACATAGCATCAAGGCTGTCTCTCCAACATTTCCCCCCCTCACCAGTAGGCTGGGGTTGGGCAAGGTCTTGGGAGGCGACATAGCCAGGACAGCTGACCCAAACTGACCAAAGGGATATTCCACACCATATGACATCTGCTCAGCAATAAAACCTAAGAGAAAGGAGGAGGAAAGGGGGGCATCTGTCATTTACAACGTTTGTCTTCCGGCACAACCACTACATGTACTGAAGCCCTGCTTCCCAGAAAGTGGCTGGACGTCGCCTGCTGATGGGACATAGAGAATAAAATCTTTGTTCTCCTTTTGCTTGCACACGCGGCCTTTGCTTTTGCTTTTATTAAAGTGCCTTTATGCAGACCCATGAGGGGTTTTTTTCCATCTCATTTTCTCCCCACCTGTCCTGCTGAGGAGGGGAGTGATAGAGTGGCTTGGTGGCACCTGGCGTCCAGCCAAGGTCAACCCACCACAGGGGCTTGAAAATCTTTGTCCTGAGGACCAAGTAACATCCTAATATTTAATAAAGCAAAAGAGGACATTATCCTCCAGAAAAGAGGTAGGAGGATGGAACTGCATATCATATTAAATAGTAAAAGACAGAGAGAATGATCTGGATCATGTGGAAACAAACACTATGTTTTCATAATGGCCACGGTAAAATCGTACATTGCAACCAATGACCATAGTCCCAACTTGTAGGAGAGGAGAAGGGGATCAGTCTGGGGAATCAGAAACCAGGAAAATTACTTGGGATCATGGTCAGCTGAGCATGAGTTCCCAAAGAAGAGTTAACAAAGTCTTTGCATACAAATCAGAATAATTTCAGATAAGAGTAGGGAGATGAAGTCACCACTACATCAGGTGCTAGTGTGATTGCTAGCAAAACAGTATGCGTGGTTCTGATGCTCATAGTTTAGAAAGGAAATTGATAAATTGGCAGGTGTTATAGAAGCACTGAAAGAATGATTCAAGGAAAGCTTGCTTTATATTGAAGGGCTCAAGGTCTTCCAATGGTTTAGCTTAACAATGAGGTTCTTCCAAGAGGTGGCTTGATCAGTGTTGTTAAGAGAAGTATTTGCAATAACAAACTTAAGGCATACTATTTAGGTTCTTTTATACACAATATGTAATGACTGGAAGTTGAATGTAGACGTATACAGATTAGAAATAATGTGTGTATTTTAATGACAAGGAAATTAACCAGTAAAACAACTTATCAAAAATTGTGATTGAGTTCGTATAAATGGAAATATTTTAATAAGAAGGACATTTTTCTAATTTATATCCTAATTTGAAAAATAATTAATTCGGAAAAGCTCAACGGACTGTATGATACCAGAAAAAAGGTTAGATGGCTTTATAATCTTTGAATTGCTCTGGTTTCTTAACTAAACTCATTCTTCTTCCCCAGCAGGGTGAGTTCACATTGCTGATTGCAGGAGGCAATTGTATTATGACTGGCTTTCTTGCTTTGCTTGGAGCAGTTAGTTCACTTTGTTTAACAGCTGCCTCACTAGCTTGCTTCTTAAATAATAACCTACAGAAAAGTATTGTTAGATGGAAAAATTGTAGTTGAGAATATATTTTGTCCATTGCACTATATACAAAGATGTGAAGCAGAGATCAAAGTACTTTGCCTGCTAAGGTTTTTGATAATATAAAGAATTCCAGTGGTTGAATCAAAAGAAATTATCCAGAATTGGAGTATTCATTTAATAGAAACCAGTGTGATTTCACTAACAGCATACACCTCCTCATAAGGGGTGGGTGAACAGTGCCAAGATGTCTGGAAGAATACTAACAGCTTAAAAGCGTTTTGTTTATACTTGGTTAGGTTTGGGTCCTGTTTTTGTTTCAGATGCAATCTTAAAAACAGAGCTCCAACTGCTTTAGAGAAACATTGGGGAGGCTGTTTGTTTTTTAAAGTGCAGAGGTTTAGTTAGTGTGATAGTTTGAAATAAAACCTCCCTGCTTTGATGTTTTCTTACCCGTCACTCCAGCAGCCTGTCTTCCATGCCCAAACTGATGAGGCGTAACAGTCTAATCAACTATTTATCTGGAATTCACTAGTAAGAACATGTGCAATAAAATGATTCTGAACTCAAGCTGAACTGCGTTACTTGTAACTCAGAGAAACTGTGTCTTTATCCAGTTCTGGCTATTGTTTCATTAATGTAGAGACGCTACTGAGGAAAGATTCAGTGAAGAGAACTCAACTCTAACAGAAGTAAGTACAATATAAACAAATAAACTACACATGATTCATGGCATAAATGGTGAGGCAGTTGCAGAGGTGCTGCTCAGAATGCCTACAGTAACCCTGCTGCCATATGGAAGGTCAAACAGGAGTGGGGGGATGTTGGCTGGCTGACAGCAAATATACAAATTGGTGTATTTCTGAGAAACTCATGAAGGCAATTCTGAACTGGATTCAGAGATGACCAAGGAATTGGGGAAGGTGGCAGAGATGGGGGAGGAATTATATGTTCTTCATAAACAGAATGAGATTAGAGCATGCTAACAACATGTCACATCTTTCCTACTCTACACCATGTGATTGTGGATAAGAAGCAACATATTATGCCCAAGCTTAAAAAAGAAGGTTCTCCAGAAATGAGGTCAAATGTCTTGATCTCACTTTCACTAGAGAAAATCTGCAATAAACCAAGCAAATTCTTTGGTGGTGGTGTGAATTTACAGAGCAGAAGTGGCCCACTTGTGATTATTCTACCGGTAAAAGTATGGCAAAAGTTATAGCAATAAAATGCAAGTGAGAACCTGCCTATAATTTCATTTGTTCTTAAAAAAAAATTTTAAAAGAAAAGAAAAAAAGTGATGTATGAATTGTACTGTAGAGGATTATGAAAATGGTAGTTTTCCAGATGGATTTAACTGAGGAAAAATAGTAAGTCATACTACATGGTAACAAAAACCTGTTAATATGGTGCATGTATTGAGTGTGTTCAAGGTTCTTACCAAAATCAGCTCATCATTAGCTAATTCTCGAGTCCAATATGTTTTGGGGCCATCTCCCTCAATAAGAGTTTGTTTGCAATAGATCTTGTTTTCATTCTCCCAAGTGGCCAAACTCTGCAGGCAAGAAAACCATTAGGAATAACATTAATTATATTCCCCAGCAGCATGAGGCAGAGAGACAACAATGAGCAGTAGTGAGAAGAATTGATGCAGTAAAGGAGTAACAACACATAGATAGATAAAGGCAAAGGGAAAAAGACATCAGTGGAAAGTGGTGAAATCAAAATTAAGGTGTGAGGGGGCATTTTGGAAATAGGTATATATTAATAACAACGTAATTGTAAATGTGTCTTTTCAGTGTAAATCTACATTTGTTTCCAAATTAAAAAGCCACCCAGTTTTCATAAAATGCTTGATGTTGAAAAGTATAGTTTAGAAATATGTGATAATGTAGTGTCCACATTCCCAAGCATCTTTGTACACATGTGGTTTGACCTGACAAGTTATTTATCACTACAGAGCCCCCTTAGTGTAAAAGCATAAAGAATCGTATGTATCATGTTGTGGTCATAAATAATGCAGTATTTGTCACTTACAACCTTTCATGCTATATGGCACTGTGCCAAGTTAACTGTATATTACATACTTATTGTGCTAACAAACTAGAATAAATCACAACTAAATTAAAGAAACTTTGTTATAATTCTAGTGTTTGCGATATTACTTTTTTTAAGGTTGTGGGTCTGGAGATTTAAATACCTTTGGACATTTTTCAAAGCATTTCAATGATGACTATGGAACCAGCGAAAAATAAAAACCCATAGGATTTTGTTCAGCTTTCACAAACAGGCAAGCCCTGACTCTGTTGCTTTTCATTCTAGCACTGAACTATTATTCTACAGTGCAATGGAACAGCTGTGCAGAAGGATGCCCTGTAATGAATGTGCAAGTAATCGCTTTATAACTAGCACATGGGAGACATTCATTAGTCTGTGATTGTATAAATATGCATATACATATACATGTGTGTGTGCATATGTATACATAAATTCAAGTTAACACTTCCCAAACTTTCCAAGGGAAAAAAACTTTACTTTGATCTCAAATTAGCTGTTTACTTTATAATATTTTTTCAAAACAATAGGTTTTTTAAGCCAACAAGCCATGGCGGTATAGAAGCTATGCCTTGCAGTACAACTACATGACTCGCTCTTTGTCTGTATGAACAATGGATCAAGTTAGTTGGCAGAACAAAACCCTCCACCTCATAAAGTGTATCAAAATCTATCACCAGTCAGCAATTTTGCCAGATACTGCAAATTACATTCTGAAGTATTATTTTATTACCTGTCAGTTTCTGCTCTGTGGCCACATCTTGGTTATATACACACAGCAGTACAACTTATTCCTGAGAGTGGACTATAAATAATTTCACAACACATGGAAAAAATTTACTACTTCACAAAACACATTTCTTTCAGATTTTTCCAACTTTCATAGCTTACAGCAGTAATTATTGTTCTTCCATCTGCAGCAATAAATCCTTCTCTAGAAAGTGGGTCACATTTATTGTATATGCATTATGCATGAAGACACTAAAATACTACTTTTGCCGAACAAGATAAATTAACAAAGCCAGCAACATTTCCTGAACAAACTGTTAAATATACGATAACTCATCCTAGAGATCAAGTGGATGTTCTAAATGTTCACTGACTCCCGGAATCTGCCTCCCTTTTTCATAAACTTAAATTCACAGCAATTGCACTGGAGATAGTAAGTTCTGAATTTTTGGTGGTGCAAATGGTCTCAGAAGCTGGCACAAGAATTAGCAGAGATCATATTTTTGGAAACTAGATTATTTCACCATCATAGGATACTTTTAAAACTGTATTCTCATTTGGGACTACATTCTGATACTCTTTTTTCATACTTCTTTTATAAGTGTTTTATATATACTTCTCTTACAAGTGTGAGAGTAAAGTGCCTGGGGAAAGGATAACTAACCCATGCCTTTGCTAACTTTTTTCAGAAGACAGCTACGATCACAGCCCTGTTCTCCAAAACCCCAGATCCCATGTATCTACACCAGTGAGAAGCTGGTGTCAGATGCTGCTGAGTTGAAGCCCCCTCCACAGCCATAGCAGTGGTTACAAAGGTAGAGGAGCAGGGGCTCACACACAGAATCAAGCCCAAAACACTCCAGTGAACGCCCTCTAATGCACTTCTGCACAAGGAGATGGTGTAATTATGGCTGGTATAACACTAGCTGAAAGTCTGTCTTACACTGTTAAAGAGTTATCTGATCAGCAAACTGGAGACATGCACTTGCAAAGGAATGAAAGAGGATTTCAGCCCCAAACTACCAACAGTCTGCGGTCCTGCTTGTGAACTCAGCTGATTCAGTTTAGGACAAAAGTTGTGTCAGGTTTGTGCACTAAATCCTGACTCTTGAGGTCTCTCTTGCTCCACCATTCCCCATGTTCCTGTCAGGGACAGAGGTTGGGAAGAGCTTTCACTGCAGCTGAGGTCTCCAGAGGACAGGGAAGCACAAAATGCTGGACAAAACCCTGCCAGCCAAGGAGCCGGCAAGCAGGTACTCGACCTCTGCCTTTGGGACCTGGCATGCTCTGTTGCCTTCAGATTTCACTTTGACCCTGCAAAAGGGAGAACACTGGACGAGGGACAAGAGGAGCAGTGACCACCAAGAACTCCCCAAGAGTGTTTCTGGGAAGAAGAGGGTGGAGGGCAGCAATGACACTGTCTGGGGACACTGGCAGCAGATGTGTTTGTCTCATCTAAAAAGAACTTGGTAACACACACACACACACACACACACACACACACACACACCAGCTCTCCTCCTACCCTGCACTTTCGTCCATCCACCGTCTCCTCCTCAAAGCTCTCCCCGATTTTGAAGTTGATCTCAGTGGTGCGGACAGTGGTGGAGGTTTTGATGTAGAACTGGTCCCCGTCCTGGCGGATCTCCACGTGGGGTTTGGAGGCGGCAGCCACCGCCACCTTCCTGAGCATGGCGTTGACACCTGGGCGAAGCGGGGCGGAAGCAGCGCTT